AGGAATGCCTGACATTGCATTTAGTATCTGGAAAGAATTAAAGGGTTACAGTGACATTAAAGCAATAGTCAACGAAACACTGTGTGATATTGATGCTGATGCCTCCATTCATGGTAAAGAATGCCATGTACCAGACAATAAAATGAAAGAGCTTCGACGAGCTTATTACTCTTGTGTCAGTTTCACTGATGCACAGATAGGTAGGGTCATTAAGGAGCTGGATGCCCAAGGGTTTGCTGATGATACTATCATAGTCCTATGGGCTGATCACGGATGGCAGTTAGGCGAACACAACGAATGGTGCAAGCATACAAATTTTGAAGATGCCACCCACGTTCCATTCCTCCTTCATGTACCTGGTGTAACTGATAATGGAATGACTACCAAAGCACTAGTTGAACTCATTGACATATTCCCTTCATTAACAGAGCTAGCTGGATTAGAAGTACCTCCAATGTGCACTAAGAATAGTCCCACATCAATTGCTTGTGTAGAAGGAAGCAGTGTTGTCCCTCTCTTATCAAATCCTAATGCACAATGGAAGAAAGGCTCTTTTTCACAATATCCAAGGCCATCCACACAAGGTCTTCCGGAGATACCAGGGAAACCTCCCTTTGATCCAAGTGATAAAGGTGAGAGTGTAATGGGCTACACTGTACGTACTGATAAATACCGTTTCACTGAATGGTATCGGTTCAATCGCATTACCTCTACTCCTAATTTTAACGAAATATGGGGTACTGAATTATATGACCACTCTTCACCCACTGTGTTCTTTAATGACGAAAATGTCAATCTTGCTACTGAGTCAGAAATGAAGCCAGTTGTGGATGAGTTGCGTCAATTGCTGCAGGCAGGCTGGAGAGAAGCTTTACCACCAACTAATTAGATCTATTTTTTGCTGCATTTTATAGCTAATTTTACATATGGCTAGCCCATTGCTATTTCTTAAGATGCTATATCTAATTTTTAGTTTTTAAAAATAAAAAAATTGAAATTAAAACTGAGTGGGCGTTATGACATCATTTGCATGAGTGGGTGTCTAGATCTATCTAGTGCAGCAGAGATGAAGATGGTCAGCTTTGGTGTGGGATTACTTTTAAGTCTCATCTTTACCTTTCTTGCCTCCAGTTGGGCAATTCCATTTCAAATTCAGTCTTGTCCTGCTTCAGTTCCTCCCAGCCTTGTTGGAGAATATTATTACAGTAATACTGATTCAGTGATTGGTATTATTTTGTGCTTTACTATTTTCTTACTACTCTAGCTGGTATTGCTAGTCTACCAATTTGTCCTCCAACCAACAGTAGCTCTGATAGTATTGGCTATCGCTGGAGATACACCATTCCAAGTGGCGGTTATGCCTTCTCATCTGTGGAATATTCTCAAGATGAAGTGTGCCTCCTTAGTAACAGGCATCTCATTATTAGGCGGGAATTCTTTAAGAATAGAGCTAGGGGGAGCATGACCTTTAGAACTGTTTCAACTAGATCTAATTGTGATATCTTACAAATACAATATGGTAAGCAAACATATACTTTTGTTATTTATGTTTTTTTTGCAGCTCCTGAAGGAATCTATCTTATGCAGCCATCAAACAGCACTGTAACTATCACTGAAAATGATTCCATTAGTCTAATATTCCTCGTGTACATTGACTATAAGACTATGCACTCCATAAAGTTCTACAAAGTGATGCCAAATGGTGAGGAGACTCTTGCAGATCCTCACGTATTCCGTGAGAACCCATTTCCACCAAACTATTGTCACTTGGAACCGGAATCAGCATTTGGATACAGGCCATTAGTGTTACCAATCGTTGTTTTTCGTCCTCATGCTAATGATACTGGCAACTATAGTGCTGTGGTGACACTCAAATCCTCTCATAAATACACAGCTAACATCACACTTAACAGTAAAAAAATAAAATTTGTAGCTTTTAGTTAATAATTTGTTCTTTTTATTATTTTAGTAGTAGATCTAGTTTAGGTAATTCAATGATAAAAAGGTAGGCATGCACATTTAAAATAGAAGGAATCTTCAAACACCCAATGACAACATACACGATCAATCATATTAATGTGTGAAATACTTCGAGCACAGGAATGTTAACACGTTCACAAATTAGTGAGATATGATCACACCTCTATCTATACTATAAACCAATAGATTTTTATATCCCTTTCTATTAATGTCTATAGGTAAAACCAGTCACAGAAGTTAAACCAAAAAACTTAAACTCATTAGCTTGAATAAAGTACAAATACATTATTATAAAAATTTAATCATAAAAATGAGCATAAAAGTCAATTTTTGTTAATCGTTATACATCCAATGGTGGGTCACTTGATGCTAGTATTTCTTCTCTTACTTCAGTAATTGCTTGTCCTAGCCAGTTTGTGCCACGCCACGTCTTTCTGTTGAGTGCTTTAGGATTACTAGCTCCTAGACCAATGCCCCATATCCTGTCCCTCGGGCTAGCCTCTACTAGTGTTGTACCAATTGTAGACATTAGCTTTTCCTTTAAATCCTCGTTCTGAGTAAACTAAAAAGAACAATGATTTTTATTCTAGCAATTGTTTTATAAAATGAATCAAGGATGAATGGATATATACAATACATGTAAATTAGAGAGTGCACTTCGATTTGATGTAGCACATTACATTTGGTTATAAAAATGACAATAATTATTTTCCAAGCCATTTTGATGAACTATCCTGTACAATAGCCCATGGTCTTTGGGCCAATTTTGTAGCAGCTTTAAAAATTTATAAAAAATTCAATTTTGATCAGAAACAGCTCAAATTTTATACTTAGCATAAGTACATATATATTTATTTTTAAAATGTAAAAATAAAGAATTCTCATCTAGTCATTTTCATTGAACTTTGACCAATGTCTCTGTAGGGTTGGCACGATTTTCAGTAACTTTAAAAATTCATAAAAAATACAATTTTGATCGGAAAAAGCTCAAACTTTATACTTAGCATTAGTACATGTATACATATCAGCAAAAATTATAAAAATGGAGGATTCTCACATAATCATTTTTGACAAAATTTGACTGATGACCCTGTACTATAGTACAGGGTCTTTCACCCGATTTCGGAGCAAGTTCAAAATTCATAAAAAGTCTAATTTTGATCTGAAACTTTATTCTTAGCATAAAGACATGTATTGTAGTATTATGCATCAGGAAAACAAAGAATTTTCTCCTAACCATTTTTATGAATTATTATAGCCCATGGTTTTTGGCCTGATTTTTAACAAAGTTAAAAATTCTAATTTTGATTATAATCAATGGAGAATCTAAAGTTTTGATCCTAAATCACTTACTTTAGCTTTGTTTCCCCTTTTAACAATGTCGCGGCAATTCTCCTTCCAGACTTTATCGTCAAAATTTCTCACAGTCCGTCCGATAGCTTTCTGTTCACGTGGTTCACTCGTATCAAGAATCTTCTGAGCAGCTTCATCATCGCCAAACAATACTACATGAATACAGACACTTTATGAATTAAGTATTATGTTATACATTGATTAACAGTATTATGATTGAAAATTTTGGTTGAGGCTATTTGATAATTTTCCTGAAAAAAAACTAAACTAAACCCACGCACTATCATACAGTTTTAATAATTAGTACCAACTGAGCTATCAACCATAGAGTAGTGCATAGTGGGAAATTTTGGAGGGACTAAAATTTGGCAAATTGCTAAATTTTGGTGATTGGCAAAATTTAATTTAGCAAATTTATGGCTACGTGCCATTGAGCATGCGTGTAATGGCTCAAAATGGCGAATTTTTATTTTAGCAAATGGCTATCAAAACATCAAATTCGCCAAATTTAATCCCTTCCAAAATTTCCCGCTATATGGCATTAAATTGATTGTCACAGAATTTAATGATTGCAAATTTGTTATTTCCCATGATACTGACTCCAATACACATTTTTAGTAATACACATTTCTATGCTCACTTGCTTTCTGATACATCATGTACTGCTCACAGCAGCAAAAAGTGATGCCATCAATTTTAAACTCGGACGGATGCCATTGGCTGAAAGGACTCTGAGACTGCCAGAAAAATGTAAACTTTTCTTCGTCACTTTTTTCAACGGGAGCATCTCCTTTGGAGGCCATTACAGCAGCAGCTAGCTGGAAAAGTTGAGGAAAAACTACAAAATCTACAGACTCGATCGCACCATAACAAGAAATTGGCCACACCTCTTTTGATAGCTACACCTACTTATCACACCTCTTCCCACGTGAATAAACGTGGAGCTCTGAAAGTAAATAAGACTTCAAGATTTATGTAAACAATGGATACCATAAATATGGGACAGGACGGCCCGAGTGTCAGTATCCTGGCCATGTTTCTTTTCCTTGTGGTACTGCTTTTTACTGCTGCCTCGGTCACTCCTCTTCATCAAGTGGTCATAACTGAGGAGCATGGCTTGGAAAAGCTGATTTGTAATTCATCATTTGCTAGCGATACTGTCCTGGTTTTATCTACTAACATAACTCACATCATTGGCAATGTATCGTTCTGTGTGATCAATACTACCTACTCACTGACACTAACCAGCGATTCTACATCTAAACAGGCTCTTGTGAAATGCCCAGTACAGCTAAGTAGTGGATTGGGATTTGATAATATACATAATCTGACTCTGAAAAGGTTAGTAGTGACAGGTTGTGGTAGGTATTTGAGAGAATTGCCATCAAATGTGATGGAATCCATTAATTCATCAGCTCATTTAATTCATCACCATTCAGCTGCAGCATTGCTGTTGCTGCCACAAATCAAGGCAATAGTCATTGAAGAGGTTAAGATTACATATTATTATGGTTTTGCCATGCTAGCGATTAACCCAATGAATGCAACAATCAATAAGTTAGCAGTTACAATATCAAATGGTGGAAGGACTAATTATACCGGTTGGTTAGGTTCTGGCGTATTTCTGCTCTTTATTGATATCAAAGGTTCACAGAGCTCAGTTCCTTTTAATACTTTTATACATAAGAGTGTATTTCACTATAATTACGATTATACTCAGTCTTATCCTTGCACTTCTCATTTTAAGGATGAAATTAAATATAAAATGATCTATGCTGCTGCTCTAACTGTACACTATAGACAGGCTAGCTTCATAGCTAATGTAAATATTGTACAATCAAACTTTAGCAACAATTATGGCATACTTGTTGGAGCCATATTGTTAGTTCATTACAACAGTTTTACATATTCCCAGACAACTATATCACACTCATCCTTCTGCAAAAACTTTGCTTATAGTGACTGTTCGATTGGAACAGACCTTTCATTTTTCTTCTATGATCACAACAGCAATACCAACAGCAGTCAAATGACCAATGACTGCTATCCAACTGGTACAGCTTGTCACTTTTATCCACTCCTTATTTCAAATACTGCATATCAGTTTACTGGTAAATCTGGAATTATTTTTATTCATATTTTTTCAGCTAAGCATTTTTATGTCAATGTTAAGCTCAGCAGAATAAGTTTTAAATTTATTCCAATGTTTAATAGAGGATCATGCATTAGTGCTACTTCACTTTCTGCTGATACCACTAGCAATTACGTGCATACTTGCATTACACTTGAAAGTGTTTCTACCTCTAATATTTTTTTAAGTGAACAGACCGAATCAATTAAAGCCTATAAGCGTTCTTCCTTTCTCTTCACAAATATTGATTGTGTTGTTTTAAATGGTTTAAGTAACTTTACTGATAACATCGGCTCTGTTTTTGATATCAGACACAGCCAAGTCATACTGGGAGGCCAACTGCACTTTGAAAATAATAAAGCAGACACTGGACCAGCTTTTAAACTAACTGGTTTGAGTAGGTTCATTCTTCAAGATGATTTGAGTGCCACTTTTGTAAAAAATTCTGCACTTCAAAATTATGGTGGAGTAATATATGCATACAATGAAGTATCTTCAGATAATTGTATGTTCACATCAAACTTGTCTAATTCTAGAATAAGTATGTTGTTTAAAGAAAATACTGCCGGTAATACTGCTAATGCCATTTTTAGTAGCAACCTTGTATATTGTAAAGGAATTGATAATATTTATTATAAGCTAGATGAAGCCAAAAGTTACTTTAGTAACATTTCAAATGGTAGTTTAGATAGAAAAAATATAATGTCTACTATTGGAAAAATACTGTGTTTTTGTAATGACTGTCACTCTACTTTATCTGTTGTTACCAAAATATATCCTGGAATAACATTACAGCTACCAATTGTTGCTTTTGATGGCTTAAACCAAACATCATTTTTGGAAATTGCTTTGAGTTTGTTAGGTAAAAACTTATTAGCCCCCAAGTTGTACCCTACTAAATCATGGTACATATCAGGTGAAAGCAGATACATGTTATTGCAAGATAAATGCACACTTGTCAATGTAACATTGCTAAAGCACAAAGAAGTTATTAATAAACATGTTGTCCAGTTTACACACTTAGCTCTTTTAGTTTCAAACTATCAAAGTTCGAACAGTCTTGTTAAATATAATTTATTACCTCAAGACTGTCCCATTGGCTTTGAATTCAATGAATCAACTCATAGATGTGACTGCTCTCATGTTTTTCGTAAATTGGGCTATCAACCTATCTGTCAAATTATATTCCATGTTAACATAACGCATATAACCATTTCAACACCACTAATTTCTATAAAATGGATTGGAGCATTGCAAATAGGCAATAATACTATGTTTGGAGTTTCTCCTACCTTTTTTCTGTACTCTCACTTATATAAAATACATTATGACACTTACATCATTAGTGATGATGACAGTAGTGTATTTTTGTCAAGTTCAAAAAATACTGAAGACAATGTTACCCTTTGCCCAACTAACAGACATGGAGTCTTGTGTTCTCAGTGTGCTCCAGGCTACAGTGTGGTATTCGGCTCTAATCAATGTCTGCAATGTAGCAACTGGTGGCTATTGACATTGGTAATATATGGAATGTCTGGACTTTTACTCATTTACATATTGCATAGTTTGAAGCTTACCATAACAACTGGGACAGCTAACAGTATTATATTATATGCACAGATTATAAGTGGACAAGATGTGTGCATGAGTGTGGTAAATAGCAAAGTACTCTTTTACTACAATTCATTAATCAAAGGTTTGCTGTTTCTTATCAATTTAAGCATAGATTTTGAATTACCACTGTGCTTTTATGATGGAATGACAGAGCTATGGAAATCTGGTCTTGGTTTACTATTTCCTGTTTATCTTTTGTTGATAGTCATTGGTCTCATTGTAATCAGTCGATACTCAGTA